CCCGCCGCCGGGCCCGCGAACGGCGCGCGTCTGCTCTCGAATCGACGGCGTATGTGGCGCCTTCGGCCGCCTCACGGCCGCCAGCACCAGCACAACAGCAGCCGCAGCAGCAAGTCGTTCGTGCCCTTCGCGCAGCACACAGCAGCAGCCGCCGCCGCACGCACACGACTTCGTTTCCCGTCGTCCACCACGCGCTCAGCCCGCGTTCCTCCTGGCACGTCCTGCCCCTAGGGCCGCGAGGTGTCTAGCGGGCACCCCGGCCGCCACGATGCGCTTCGGGGCCCATAACGGCGTTCCAAATCGGGCTTGCCCGCAACTTTCTCTAACCTCGTCTCAAATGCCGCCGGTTACTGACCATCAACAGCCTCCCGCTACTTTTGTAAGTGTAGGCACCTAACGCGCTCTTCGTCGTTCGCGCAGTTGGGCAACGCGCGAGCGGCGCGGGTGACGCGGCACGGCGGCGGTCGCGGCGGCGGCGTTCGGCGGCGGGCTGGCGCTCGTCAGCACGTCGGACGCCGCCGCGGGGAACGTGGGGGGGCTGCGATCATCCCCCGACGACCACCTGGGCCTGCATCGGGCGGGCCTGGGGCACGGCGACGCCATGGGCGGCGCCTCCCCCTACGGCCTCGGCCTGGGCCTGGGTGACGAACTGCGCCTGCCCGCGCACGGCGACGGCGACGTCGCTCCCGACGACGGGCTGGACAACAACAACAGCGTCGCCACCAACAACAACTACCGCCTGGCGCTGCTGGGGCCCGCGTCCTACGACTCGGGCGGCAGCAGCCTGGACGGCAGCACGGCCAGCAGCGGAAGCGGCTGCGGCAGCGTAGGGTCCGGCGGAGGGCTGTCACCCGCCCCCGCGCCGGTCCCCGCCCCGGCGCCCGCTCCCGCGCCCCCGCCGGTGCGCGAGCCTCGCGTCTCCAGCTCCACGCCGCTCGTCTTCAAGTCATCCATGATATCCAACGGCAGCCTGCACAAGTGCTTGGATTGCGATAAGGTGAGACATTCCTCATTCACATGGATGCAATTAAATGGAACATCCGAAAAATTAATGTATTTGGTCATTAATGCTACAATCTTGATTGTAATGTAGACTCTGGATTGTCTTGCTTCTAAACATAGAGATCAATATGTATTTGGAAAAAGGCAGCGTCAAGAAATTTCGAATGTAAAATGTGTGCGTGTTGGGAGCTGCGGAAGACAGACGCTGATTGTGCTTGTGTTGCGCAGGTGTTCAACAAGGCGTGCTACTTGACGCAGCACAACAAGAGCTTCCACGCGGGCGAGAAGCCCTTCAAGTGCAAGCGCTGCGGAAAGCGCTTCCCGGCCGAGCCGCTGTACGCCGAGCACTGCTCCAAGCACGCGGGCGACAAGCCGCACAAGTGTTCGCTCTGCCCCAAGCAGTTCAACCACAAGACGGACCTGCGGCGCCACATCTGCTTGCACACGGGCGACAAGCCGTTCGCGTGCGGGGTGTGCGGTAAGGGATTCATCCGCAAGGACCACATGCTCAAGCACTGCGAGACGCACCGCAAGAAGCTGATGCAGACGCAGCCTGCGGCGCAGGCCCAGGCGCACATCCCGCGCGCCGCGGCGCCGCTGGGCGTCTGACGCCTCGCCCCCGCCCCCGCGCCCGCCGCCTAGACTCCCCCGCCCCCTGGAGGCGTAGCCCGACCTCATGCCTAGGCCCCAGCTCAATACGCCCGTTGAGAGCCACGCTCGCGCATTGCTTCGTAGCGTTCCCTTGAAACTCGCTAGTGAATACTTACTCTCTCAAACGTTCCAAACGCAATACAGCAAAACCTCGCTATGTACTCTGATAATAGGAAACAATGGTGCAAAACATTTCTACCTCTGTGGCGTTCTTAATGGCAATGTTCTAGGAACTCATTTTTTTTTAAATTTCTTCTGAAGAGTACGAATCCAAGTTAATGGAATCGTTTTACTGTGCCAGAGTTCCATGTTGTTCGCGAGTAGAAATAAGCATCATGCTAAGAAACACGTAAGGGGTCAGGCATCGGGCTGGCAAACGGGCTGTTCCTTCCAGGTCGAACGTCCTGCTTCAGATACCTCCCGGAGGGGGGGGGAGGCGTAGTTCGTCACCTCGATGGGGAAAAGAGATGCTAGGCACCGCTGGTGCAGTCACCGATCCGCGCGCATGAAGCAGCAACACTCACGAACCCCAAGAATGACGACGAGGGCGTGAATTGCGCCCGAATAAAAGGGCGCAGTCCAGCCCCCCCTGAGTGCAGACTCCCACGGCGAAGAAGGCAACGATCGAATCGTTTTGCTCCTTCATGCGCCCCCCAGTGAGCCCTTGTCCTCTCTGCGCCGACCCCGTGCGGGTGGCGCCGAAGCTAGTGCCGCGTGCAGTGCAATTCTGACTTGACGTCAAGTGACTGGCTCGCCGCCGGTCGCCTTGGGACTTTCATAAGCCATGGCGCCGTCGGCAAGGACGGTTCCGCCTCTTACGAGGTGATGTGATTTTTATATAGGATTTATAATTTTGTTTATTTGTAATTAAATTTAAGTGTGTAGTTGATACGCTGCAGAAGATGGTAGGCCTAACTCCACCGTCAAACGAATTCTGTGATTGTTTCTGGTATATTCTTGATAGTCTGTAATTTATTGAACCTTTCCACCATTTCTTTGAAGAGGTATGCTACTACTGCCAAACGGCGAGGTGTGCCGTAGGCTCCTTTTCCGTTTCCTTCCCTGCATGGCCTTGCAAGGGTCCTCGCCCTCGCTCTTGCCCCGGACGCACGCGGCGGGAGGGCCGCGGACGCCATCTTGTCGTCCGTCGCCATTTCCCTCCCGGCGACGTCCTCTACTGCGTTCGACTGTTCGCCGTCTCGGGCGGCGTTGAAGTCATTGTTCGGAGGTGCAATCCAAAACCTTCCGAGTCATATCCGTAGACACAGTACAAAGTAGTTGATATCAGTATTTTACGTTAATGAGATATTTTTGATAATGCCGGTTCGTTTACAGATTTGCCAGGTTCTAAGAGACTTCGGCAGCGCGCTGCCCGCCGCCTACCCCGCGCCGGTTCGCGTGTCGCACCTCGGCAGCCGCCCCACGGCCTCTTGCGAGGCGGGGCAGCTGATCGGCCGGTGGGACGCGAACGGGCGAGGGGCAGCCGGGCAGCACCAGGGTCCGATTCCACTACCTCCATTCCAAAGATACTCCTACATATCAAGAGCACTCATTGCCCTCGTTACTTCCTACTACAACCGCGCGTTCAGCACCCGGCACTGGATGCTGAAAGAAAAAAAAAAGCAAAGAGCGTCGAAATGACTGGTTGCTGCCTTTGTTATGGGTTGATGAATGGTTGAGTGGAGTTATTGTTTGTTTCAGTGAGCGTTATACCAATTGTACAATTTATTAATTGTTATGTTAAAAGCATCGCTCCTTGTACATAGCAGTATTGATTATTGTGGGAGTCCTTGTGTTGCTGAGTGTATGAGATTGGTTTATGTCTTAGATTGTAGCATTCCGATGCCAAATTATTTTTATAATGCCAGACGTTTATGATTATCAAGTTCCTTCATGCAGCGGGCTGCTCGCGCGAGACATGCTCTCGCGGCGCCGCCCAGCCCCACCCGCCCCACCCCGCCCCCGCCGCCCGCGCCGTCGGACGCCGCGCGCACTACCGCCCGGTCCCATCAGGCCGCGGCCGATGCGGCCAACTGCACCCCCATCCCCACACCTACCCCGCTCCACCTCCACCTCTCCCTCTACCCAAACTGAAATCACCGCCAAACCTGCAATGTTTCAAGGGTCGTTATCCTGTACCTTTTCACATATCACACGATATCACGTAAAACCTTTAAGAGTAGAGAATTGAAATAATGCGGATATTTTTTTTTCAAGCACGCGTAAATAAACTTCCACCGTCCGATATGGACGGTGTGTAATCAGAGGGAGCGTGATTTGCTAGTTTCGTTCCGAAGCCCCGTGGCTTCGGGTGACGAGAGGAGAGGAGAGGCAGGCCGGCCGGCCGGCTGCCCGCGCGCCGAGCGCCGTCGGGGACAATCAGGGGAGCGCGTGTCTGCCCAGGCGGGGCAGCTGACGCGCCTATTTTTGTACGCGTGCAGGAGCATCGGGCGCGACGGTGCGCGGGCGCTTCGGAGCTCCGAAGGGCGCGAAGGAATCTGTTTACAGATAATTGCAACAATCGTGACGTTCTATGTAGGCTTCCAAGCAAATCGAAACACGGAGGTACATCTGATTTACTATGATTTGTAAAGTTAGGCGTATGTTGAGAGATACGGTCTGTTCTGTTGGGAGAGGGTGGGCCACATGGGTTTTGTTCATAGAAGAGTGCCATATCATGACATTTGTAAGGGGTCTGGTTCCTTGGGTGGTAGCGACCAGTTGGGTCACCGCCACTCTTCCTCCCCCGTCCCCAGTCCCACTCCTCTGAGGCGGTGGCGCGGCCAGAGCATGGTCGCACGTGCCGACGCCGCTGACAAAATGTATTAATGGTTGTTTTCAGGGGATTATATTCCGGTAGTCCTGTGTTGTGTATTGTATCGGAATATCAATGAGTTGATTTCTGTTTGATGTTAATTCTTTTTATAATATAATTGACTTAATAAATAGTTTTTTTAATGAGAGTTGATAGCTTCATTGTTTAATGGTCCCTTACATCCTTTTGGCCTTAATCTTAAATTACATTATTAAGCATATTCTGACAGGAACATTGACTAAGACATTACTTGCATCATTGATGCAGAAAGATTTTAAAAGTGCCCATATCTGTTTTTGATAATTTGTTGAAAAACTTTTTGTAAATGTTGGTCTTTACTAGAATTGAATTGAATTTGCCTTATTTAACGTGGCGAGACTCGGGCCATCAGGCCCGCTCTTCCGTCTGACCAAGAGAGTTGTGCATAACATACACAACAATCCCATTTTTTTTTCTTTTTTTTTTTCAGAAAGATGAATGCTCTTGTCCCCTAGTAAAATTTAGCAATGTATTTAAATTTATCGAATTACTAAGTGTTGCAATTGTTAATTTGAGGAAAAGCTTACTCTGTTTGATATTCAAATGTGTGGGGTTCGAATATTCCGCGTTTGTATTTGGATACTTCGAAGCAATTATTTTATACTAATTCAGAAAAAAATATTGGATCTAAAAGTGCCTGAAGCACTCAGTATTAGTGAGGAAACTTTACAAGGAGACTTATTACAAATAGCTCGTTCTGCAGTATAACTGATGTCGGACAAAACTGAAAACACATGAAATGCTGTAAATCACATTTTGTCTGTAGACAAAAGTAGGAATCGCAAAAATTGTATTTCTTTTAATTAAGAGATATTCACAAGATAGAAATATTTTTACAAGTAAAAATTTCATAAAAGATGAGTTACAAAGACAACATTGAGTATACCTCTTATCTATTACTATGAAAAACATGAAGCCGTGCTGTTTCAAAATGTCGCTCTTGTCTTGGGCCCCTATGATACATAAAATGACAAAATCGTGAATACGAATGAAAAGGATTTGGAATAGTAAATCTCATAACAATCGCCATTAATAAACACTATTATTATTAACAATGGCCAATGATTTTAAACTTTTCTTTGGTTCCTGGATGAAAGGTGATTCTTACAGAAAATGGAATGCTGGATCTATATATACGCTTTCAGAGTTGACGTATCACGTATAGTTTTAGGGAGATTGATGGGACTAAATGATTTATACTATTTGGTGAATCGTGATAACATTAAAGTTAATTGTTATTGAAGGTAATATTTCAGTTGCAAAAAATGCGAAATGTTACCAAACGCCGAAAACCATTAGTAATTGTATGTTTGACGGTCGGTGCTGTACATTTATGAAGGTTTTCAATCTACGATAAATAGAAAGCGAACTCACGTACAAAATATGAAATGGTTTTGGAACTGCGGTACAATTGCTAAATTGCATTTTATGGTTGCCTTGGTGTTCCATATCTAGGGATATGACATCGATGTTTAAAAACATTTCATTTGGAAAGTGGTCTGGTATTTTTCATTGATTGGTTACAGTGTTAATAGTTTATATATATATATATATATATATATATATATATATATATATATATATATATATATTGCTTTCATTCACAAAAAATGCATGACATTTTAAATGAATATTGTGTTGTATAAGACAATAATCATTCTAAGGATTAAAAATTACTTCATTAAGTATTTGTTGAAGGTACCAAAAGGAGAAATATTAAATTAGTTACCCTTATTACCTGATTTTAATGAGAAACACTAAAAACCATCAAAATACTTTATCTCAAAGGGACAAAACAACAAACTACAAAATGCTAAATGTTAATTTTAGGGCGCTATAAAATGCTATAGCCTTGTTTTCAAAATGCGATTTTTATACAAATTAGCCTAAATGTTAAATTCTTCCATCAATACGTATTATGGAATACTTCAATAATATTTTGGTTCTCTTCCTTCTGTGTGATGAGGATGGTGGTCCCCTCACTGCTAACCAACAGTAATCTGGTATCACGACTGGATTCCATCTTCCCTGGTAACAATTTTCAATGGCCAAAATGTCCTGATGAAATTGTCCGTCTTCGTCTTAGACGACTTCCAAAAAGTTCGGAAAAATCCAAGTGGGCGTGCAAGAAATGAAAAATTAAATATGTGATACATCCCATGTCACGGAAAGCCACTATCAATTTGTCCACATACTTCTTGTGTACTTGACTGAAAAAATGTCGAAAAAGCAGGAAAGTGTGATCAGATGTCATATTCGTGCACCAATGTTTCTTCGCTTATCAGTTATGACCTGTTTGAGATCTCATTGTTAGCTTCAATCTATCCGAAGGTCACCAATTTTGGTCGAAATTCAACAATTTCAGAAAAAAGTTGTTGCAAAACCTTTAATGTATAAACCCTTAATTTAAAACTTTCGCCAAAATGAGGAATAATGGTGCTTTCTGCAATTCCGTACTGATTGAATCCCCTTGTCAATCATTGGGTGTATCCTTCGTCGTTGACACTCTCACAAGGGAATGCCGCGATATGACATGTTGAAACCTCTCCTAATCATTCTTTTCATCGGAAGCACATGCCGTATTAATATCACGATCAAACTTTCCGGTACCGATACACACTGCAAGTCAATTAAAAATGATCCTGAATTTGCAAATTGGCCCTATGCTTTCACCGATGTACAAAATAGCTAACCCTGCAAGTAGGTGTGACCCAGCGCTCGTTTGTGATTCAACGTAACTGCTCGCTTCAAGCGGCAGACTGCTTCCAAGGTCGTTCCCTGCGAAGGGCAGGGGGGGGGAGGCAGTTGCCCCTCCTAACAGCTAAAATAATAAAACGAATAACACCAATATTAACTATACATAGTCTTAACTACTCATAAATTTTTTTCAAAATTTTAGTTTTATCTGTTGTTCATTTTTGTAAGAAATACATTTCGTCGAGATAAACCTTGCCGCAATCGCTCATCTAACATGAGCTACCTCCCCTGGAGCTCTTTTCTCTCGAATTTGGGAGCTCTTATCTGTGTCTACTGCGAAACAGGTCAGTTGTGTAATCACACGTGAAAGGTCGCTGCAAACTGGAAAAGTGCGGTAAAGTTGTAAGTCTTTTGGAATTTTCGAATGAGAATATTGATTTTATCGACACATCGAATAGGTACAAATTAAAGAACGGTATTTTTCGCGAACGAAAAACCAAAATGAGGCCATGACATGTAAATTTGATTCATAAAACTACTCTTAAATCTCTTTACGTAATTTCATTGTAAAGTGATACCGTAGTTATATGTTATACGCTTTCAGTATTCAATAATTATGCATATTGACGATATTCATAATGATAAAAGTAACACACTTTCATTGGTAATGAAATAAAATGGACTTCGACAATATGAAAAGCATTGAGTGTACTGGGATTGCCTGCTCCCACTGAATGCCATTTGGCCTTGAGGAAACAACCCTCTACAACGCCAACCACGGCGCCCGCGCGCTCGCTGTTCGGCTTGCGAGGGCTGTCCATGTTCTCTGTAAAAACGAA